CCAAAACCCACCCTAACATGGGTGACAGCTTACAAAAGCTAGGAACCTGGAGCACATTGAGCAGCCTGCAGGCAGCTCAATAAAGGTTGGGGAATGCCCTTTCTGGGTAGTTGAATTTGTCTAAGCCTCTTCTATGCCGCCCAGCTGGTCGAGTGTGAGTCTTAGCTGTTTTTATAGCTTATATATGCTTGGAGAGGGAGGATTGAGTTTATCTGGGTAATTTCAAGAATTTCCTGAAGCTATTGAGTTGTTTATTTCTGAGCTTAACCACCTTCTCTGCAGGATGGAATTTTTCATTTTCCTTAATAACATAGTGTTGTTTCACTATCCCTTTTACATCTTGTGTTTCTTAACAAGGTTTCTTCCAAAATGAAAGGTTTTAATTTCAGAGGAAACTGCTCCATCACATCCTCCTGCCTGATTCTTCCTGGTAGTTAGATTTACAGGCATGTGTCACCTTTTTGTGGTGGCTTGAATGAAAATGGCCCTCCTATGTTTATATATCTGAATGTTTGGTTCCCAGTGGGTGGACTATTTAGGAAGGATTAGGGGGTGAAGTGTTGTTGGAGGAGGTAAACTTTAACATTTCTTTTTTTAAAAAATAATTTATTTTTTCTCGAATCGTAATTCATTCACACAGAGGTTATAAACACAAAAAGGCAGGATGTGGGGAAGGGGATGACACTGGAGTGTGGGTGTTCAGGGGGAATACAGATATCTTTCAGAACTGGGTATCGGCTGGGTGAAGGTTCAGGGGACAGGTCACTATGACTCACTTGTCCTTATCTAAGTTGGTAATATCTGCCAAGGCTACCTATTGACGAGGTCTATGACTACTCAGGCTTGTAAATTTCCACAAAAGCTGCCTGTTTACAATAGCTTATAGCCATCTGTTTCAATGTTTTTCCACTGAGACCCAAGACTTGGTGTTAGTATACATGTATGACAGGCCAATTGATGATTTTAGGCCTACGGCTGAGTTTAGGCTTTCAGTGTGTAAGCAGGGCTGCCCCTGACATCTCCTTCCTTCTCTAAGTATAGAAGGGCTGTGGCAATTCTAATCTTGTGAAGGCGGGGATAGAGGCCTGACCTCCAGTATTTGAGGGGGACCTTGTAATGGCTCCAGTCCTCCTGTCATTGTCCAGTGAGGCATGAGGGCCATACCCATCCAGATGTCTTTTTCCTGGAGAGGGAATACTTTTGACATCAATCCCTATGCAGTCAGGCTTGTCCCTCAGGGAACCCAGATAGATATTTTTATCTTTTATTGATATTCCCTTGCAGTGCTTAGCCTCGCAGCCTAAGCAAGAACTCAGATCACCAGTCAGAGGGGGTTCTGGGTGGCCCCTCTCTGCTTGGTCTAGGGGCAGAAGTCCCCTCTTTTAGGTTGGGTGGAGATGGGTTTTGGGAACACCCTGTATAAAGTAACAACCTCATCTTGAGTCTCGTGGTCCTCCATAGCTAACTTATCATAATGTATCTGAGTAGGTTTTGCTACCAAATTATTTATCTGTTGTATCACAGAGTTAGTCAGCCTATTTGAGGCCCTGGGACCAGCAGAAAGAAGCAAAAAGAACCCAAATAATGGTCCCAAGATGGGAGGAAGTAGGGTTGACAACGGCCATACTACCCTGAACGTGCCTGATCTAGTCTGATCTCGGAAGCTAAGCAGGGTTGGGCCTGGTTAGTACTTGGATGGACTTTAACATTTCAAAAGCCCATGCCAAGCCCAGAATCACCCTGCCTGCTCCTTTTGGATCAGAAGTAAGTTCTCAGCTACTGTTCCAACACCATGCTTGCCTGCTTGGCTCTATGCTCCCAGACATGATGGTCATGGACTCATCCTCTCAAATCATAGGCAAGCTTCCAGCTAAACACCTTTTATAAATTACCCTGTTCATGGTGTCTCTTCATTGCAATAGAACAGTATCTAAGACAACTGGCATCCAGATATTTTTTTGAGATAGGATTACCTCAAACTCACTATGAACTTAAATTTTGGATCCTCCTGTTTTAGCCTTCTGAGCACTGGAACTGCAGGAATATGCTCCCATACCTGGCACTCTGGAGATTTTAAAATGCTGTCTAGAGAGTCTTACTTAGCAAATAGGGAAGATTCATGTTTAGATACTCCTTGTTAAAATGAAAATGTGGTTTCTGATATGAACATTGTTTCCATGTGAAAATTGCATTTTTACATGACTGCCTTTGTGTTTCATCACCTTGCTATAGTATATGGCACATGCCTTTGAGGGGACAGTGTTTAGACAGGTAAATATCCCTATATATAGTTATGTCTCCATTGTTGGACATGTTTGGAGTTTGTATAACTTAAAGCATCTCAGTTTAATATTAATTACAGTTCCATTCTTTGGGTTCTGATTGCCTTGATGTTACTGTTTATTTAAATATGTGATGTTTGGTTACTTAAATATATTTTAGAATATTCTAGGTGGTGGGTATGATTGTGCACACATTTAAAACCAGCATTTGAAGGCAGAGGCAGGTGATCTCTGTGAGTTTGATGCCAGCCCGATCTAAATAGGGAGTTTCAGGACAGCCAGGAATACATAACATCCTGGATGAAAACAAGAGAATACTCTAGGGATATGTGATTTTCTTTTATGGTAGTTTTATATCATATTATTTTAGCCTGTTATTAGAAGATAGTTGGTATTTTACAAAGCTTTGTTTCTGTGGAACAAAATTTTCCAAATGATTTTGAAACAACTTGAATAATTATGATGTGAAACAAAGCATGAATAATACCTGAAGTCTAGTTTCCATTAAAACACATTTTAATACAAATGATTCAGACCAGTATTGGGCCTAAAGGAAGAATTCAGAAAATTCAGCAGCTTAACCTATCTGATAAGAAAATTCTGTTTTTTTTTTTTTTTTGAAACTGTTCTCAGCAGGGTTAAGGCACTGTGGAATTTTTAAAAATGGAATCACTTTATTGCATTCTAGCTTTACTTTAATTTCTAAGTTGATTTAAAGTAAATAGTATGAGTTGACGTTTGTCTAAAATAACAAAAGGCAAGATAGTAATTACTGTTTACAGTGGAGTAACTTGGAACAGTGGATGATTGCATTTGTAGGTCAAATAACTGTCAAGAGAAGACATTTCCTATTATAGTCTCAGTGTATATCTTTTGTAGAATGTAGATAAGGTGCTTATTATGCAAAGGTTATCAGCTAAAGCTGATTTGGGGGAAGAGAGGGCATGAAAGGTATTGAAAGTAAAAATAACAGATGGTGATATTTCTGATCACTTTGCCTGATACAATTTCTCTGTGTAATAACTTGATGTGTAACTGTTGAGAAGTGTAAAAAAAAAGATGTTATCAAAACATATCATAGGATATTTCTTTAAGAAAACTTCAGACTTGATCGCTGGCTTGGTGGTTAAGAGGACTTGCTGCTCTTGCATTGGACCCTCTTCTGATCCTAGGATCTACATGGCAGTTCACAATCATCTGTGATTCTAATTCCAGAGGATCAGCTGCCCTCTTCTATTCCCCATGGGTATCAGGCATGTACATGGTGCATGGATATACATACATGTATGTGCATAAAAGAAAATAAATATAAAACATTTAAAGGAATGCATTAAACTTCCAAAATAACCCGAAAATTTCAGAGTTTCCTTCCCTCATGAAAAACTGTGTTTTGGCTACTGAGACAAGTTTGCATAGGTCTACCAGTGAGAGCAGTAAGTTTTTAATAGCTCTTTGTTTCTCACTTCCTTGATAGGTGTGTTCTAAAGATGAATTATAGAAATGAAAGACACTGGTGTCATTTGAAAACAGAGGCACACATAACAGAGCCTGTTTTAAATGGCTTCTCGTGTATATAGGGGCTCATGTGTGTGCAAGTGTAGAATATTTTGAGTCTAGAGAATAGAATATTAAGACTACAAACATAGTCTTGCTATTGCTTAATTATGCTCATAGTTTAGGGAGTTAATATCTACAATGTGATAGAGCTGTGGTTACTGTAAGAAATGCAGTCTTATTTATGTCTGGTATATTTTATTGCTTTCTTCTGTTAGAAAAGCAAGTGAGTGCACATGCAGAAAAAAAAGTGATGAATTATCTGCCGAGCTAATAGACACTTGCATTTGCCCTTTTGATGCTGTTATGAGGGATATTTTAGTATATTTTGGATAGGCAAGTAGGGAATTTTAAGTACACAGGCTGTGAACTAATCCATTCTATCGAAATGTTTAACTTCCACGAAAGAAGAAAGAGGAATATTAGAATTTCACATATAGAAAAACCATCAGTCTCTTAACATTTTGCTGTGTGTGTGTGTGGGGAGGGGTTGGTTAACAGGTTGTGTGTATGTGCAAGATTGCATTATTATTGCCTGAGTACCTCAGGATAGGGTGGTATTAACCAGAAGGGAATGCATAAGAAAAATGACAGAACAAAATATCTAGGGAATGAAAAGGAACAAGTCATAAATGATTTGGGAAATAGGGCTTAGAAATTAAGTTACACATTCTTGAAAGCAATGACAAAAGCAGGAGACTTATTTTAACACGTATAATTCCAAAAAGGACTAGAGACAAAGTAGATGGGTTATTTATCCCTATTGTGTGCCTAGAAAGGAAGGCGAACTGAAGGGAGAGTGGAAGAAGCTGGTTTTCTTACTCTAAAGTTTTCTTCTCAATTTGAGCTCTTAGCCTTGCTGTCATCTTCCAGAGGAATCTGATTTCTGAGAGCTCAGTGGGGACTGCATGATCTTTTCAATTCCTATCTTGAGTGATGATACCAAGTAATCAAATAAACATTTCCAATAATACTTATGAAGTCATCTCATCTTAATGTGTGCCTCCTAGTAAAAGCATATTGCCTCAACCATAGTCTGCACACTAAGCGTTTCAGCTTGTAGTATGTAATAGGACTTAACATCAGTGTTAGTATGTGTATTAAGTTATATTTTACCTTGAAGCTCGAATGTAGACTAAAACTTGTACTTTTTTTTTTCTTTAGGACAGCCAGTAGAGGGGACTTCATGTTTTCTGCGGATCGCTTGGTAAGTGGAGGCTTTCCATTTCATTTCATTATTATATGCAGTGATATAATCCTGGTAGGCCAGAGGGCCTGTTTGTTGTACAGCATTCTAGGATTGAGAGAGATTGTAGTGAGTAACCAGTTGTCTTGCTGGGCTTCTGAAGTGTTCTTTCCACTACAGCATTAAAGCACTGCCTCACTCCCTTTTACTCCAAAGCATTGCCTATGAACCCAATTCCTTGTTGTTCTTAGATGGAGCTCAGCAGTCTGGTTCTCAGCAGCTCATAAAATGTCTTATCTTAGGGCAATGAATTGAAGCACATTAGATGAAAACTATATATGCTCTGAGACCTAGCATTCACCCTTGTGGTATCAGCTAATGTACAAAAATTAGTGTAATATGTGTGTATGTGTGTGTGTGTGTGTGTGTTTTACCATATGAGTTGCTTTTGTTTTGCTTCTGCCCTGTGGTATAGTCACAATATAAAATTCTACGTTGGATTGTCTATCCCTTCTTCAAGGGCATCCTATCAAGTCCTGAGAAAGCCCAATCTTTCTATAGTCAGTGTCATCTCAGATGCTCTCAGGCTGAATTGCTTTGCCACAGATTTTCAGTCTTATGTCAATACCTAAGTGTGCTCCATTCTTGGAATGAAATTGATAATTAGTTGCTATGCCTAAAGTTCTTCATTAATGAAAATAAACACTGGGCACATTTTAGGCTCTGCGCTAGACTATTTTGGGAGAGAGGAGATAAAACAGCTAGAAATATAGATATGGTCCCTGATCTTGTTGAATTTACAAACTTAACGCTATCGTCAGTACTTAGTTTAAGAATGAAATGTGGCTTATTAACTTTGTAGGTATAATCAGATCATAGAAAATAGTTATAAAAGGAAATATGAAAAGAAGGTACTTTTAATTTTGATTTTCCCTGGAGCATATACTCTAAAGGGCTGTAGGCAACCCGTCTTCTGCTTTTGGCTTTACATATACTTGGTTGAGAGACCCAATTCTATTTAAACTTTTTTTGGCTTTCATGGATAGTAATAACTGTTAGTAACAGTAGGAGAAATATGGTTGCCATTCCTGGGGCAGTAGCCATTGTCTGTCATATTTTCTTCTGTGTATGTATGTGTATATATGTATGTTTTTGGAGGTACATATGTGTGTGCTTGCACATAGAAACCAGAGGTCAACCTTGAATGTGGAGGCCAGAGGTCAGTCTTGGTTGCTTCTCAGGAGTCATCTACCTCTTTTTTTTTTTTTCATCCTGGGAACTAGGTCTCACCACGGAGGATAGGCTGGCTGGCCATCAAGCCCTCCAGAGACTGTCCTGCCTTGAGGGCTATAAATCGTATGCCACCACTTGTGCTTTTGCTTTTTATGTGGGTTTTAGAGATTCAATTCAGCCTTCTTTTATGTTTCCTGCAAAACCAACCAACCAACAACAACAAAGCCAAAAATATTTTTTAGGAGTTAGGAACTTCTACCTTAAGGGCAGAGAATAGGAGTCTCTGTCCTCAGGTGTAAAAATGTTCAGCTTTTGTTTGCCTTCTTTCTTTTCTTTCTTTTTCTTTTCTTTCTTTTTTTTTTATTCTTTTAGGGACAATTTTTTTTCCAGAACGGCCTCAGAAATTCTGGGCTCAAGCATTCCTTCTGCTGCAGCTTTCCAAGTAGCTGGGATGACAAGCCTAGTGGCAGATGCTTGGGTTTCTTCTTTTTGATATAGAAAAGAGGAGTCAAGTTCACGGATGCTTTAAACTGCTTCTCTGAGCTAGCAGGCGTTATATCCTAGCCAAATGAGATATGTGGCATACTTCATGGAAGGATACAGCAATTTGGACTTCTCCACTCTTCGAAGTTTGCTTTGAAGGACCATTGTTGGGGTGGGGTTTGGGGGTCTATTATGGTTGTGGTAGCAGCTACAGCCATTTGTATTTTTACTATTGAAGATCTCTAGTATACCGTCTCCTCAATACAAGGGTCTCACGACTGTAGGAAATTGACATTATTCTGAGCTTGTCAGGAGTTACTTCCTACAGTTCTTTACAATTGAATTAATTTGGGGGAGACTGGTGAAGATTTCAATGAAGGGCTTGAATTGTACTGGGCACATGCTGTACCACTGAGCTACACCCCACCCCTGAAAAGAGATTTTAGTCTTTTTTTTTTTTTTTTTTTTGGTTTTTCGAGACAGGGTTTCTCTGTGTAGCCCTGGCTGTCCTGGAACTCACTCTATAGACCTGGCTGGCCTCGAACTCAGAAATCCACCTGCTTCTGCCTCCCAAGTACTGAGATTAAAGGTGTGCGCCACCACTGCCCAGCGATTTTAGTGATTCTTCTAGTTTTATGCCCTCCTCTAACTTAGATACAGTAATCTCCACACCTGGGTTTATATATTTTTTATGTATTTGAAAATTTTATATATGTAATTTTACAATGTATTTTGATTATATCCACCCTTCAGTCCCCCTCCAACTCCTCTCAGACTTTTCCACCCAACTTCATATTCTCCTTTTTCCCATAGCCTACTAAATCTAATTTATGTTACCCATAGGCACCTGGGTGTGAGGCCATCCACTGGGGTATGGTCAACGTTTCAGTGGGCCACACCTCTAAAGAAAACTGACTCACCCTTCTTCAGAAGCCATCAACTGACAGTAACTTCTCAAGTAGGAGCAGGGCCTTCAGAGCTCCTCCCACCTGTATGGGGAGTGTTGACTGGCTTGATCCTTTGCCTGTCTTGTCCAAGCAAACACAGCTGCTGTGAGCTCATGACTGCAATATTTCACAGCAGTCCTCTTCAGTCTCCCGCTCTGCTCTTACAGACATGATAATTTCTGTCCTAGAGTTTCAGAGGATGGGGCAGGAAAAAAGGCTCTTTTGAGGTATGTCTCTAGAGGAGGGAGATATGGGCTTTTCAAAGAAAAAAAATTCTTCCCTGTAATTGTCTCTTAAAGAAACATGAATAGCCAATTCCTTGGTAGCAAACAGTGAGTGTGTTCTTGCATATGCTATTCAAAAGGTTTCTGGGCACATTCTCTGATTCTGCAGGCAGACAAAGTGATGAGCCATTTCCAATTGATCCTTCTAATGGCAGCAGGGTGATGTGTTGTGATAACACGGAATGAAGCATCGTACTTCTCCCTGCTGTTCCTGATTCTCAATCATTAATGTAATATTGATTGGAGAAAATGTGTGATACAGGCTCAGCACTGTCTTTGTTATAGTGGGCTCTGGCTGCTCAGATCTCACTGTGAGAATCTGCTTCCGGTAGTTTTTAGTGATGCTTTTCTTTATACCACGTATTATAATTGCTATGAGACTCATAAAACTTTGTTTTAAAGTTTTTAGAAAACTCTTTCTTTACTGTGTGTGCATGGGTGTGTGTGTGTGCACACCCACACATGCCATAGTGGATACATGTGAAAGTCATAGTACAACTTTTTGGGAGTCAGTTTTATCCTTGTACCTGCTTATCTACTTGGTCTTCATAGTACTTTTCTTTAGCTGAGACGTCCCGAGATACCCTACTGGATCCTCCTTTACACCTAGTAAATTGCTTCAGCCAGACCATCTATTTCATTTTTTTTCACAATGACTTTTAGATTTTATTTACATTAAGGTAGACCTCTGTTAAAAATGAATTCAAGTTCATTTTTAAATTTCAAAGATTTCAAAGGGACTAAGCAAGGTAGAGAAAGTCCAGGTGGATATTTTGCACAGTAAGCCATAATGTTATTACTATTAATGATGTTTTTAACACAACTCTAGTTGAAGTTATATGCTTTTCATATTCTTCACTGAATCAGAAGGCACACTAATGCCCTTTGGTGACAGTCACGTGTCAAATGGAGGTTGGATACTTAGCAACAAGCAATATGGCATTTAGATCTATCCCTGCGTTTAATACATGTTGGGGGACCCTCTTCCTACCTCCCTAACCTAAGCTGTGAGATCCTGAGTCTAATCTGATAGCAGGAGAGTCTCTGCAAGCTCTGAACTTCTTTCTTTGTCCTTCTAGATCAGACTTGTTGTAGAAGAGGGATTGAATCAACTGCCATATAAAGAATGTATGGTGACCACTCCAACAGGTAACCAGGGCTTGTGCTCTCAAAGTTTCCTTATAAAAATTCTGAGCTAGGCTGGGGTTGGGGGAGGAAAATGGAAGGAAGGCATTCTGTGTAAAATCAGTGTGAAAAATGAGAAGTTTATGTATAACTGCTTTAAAAAAATCTTTAAAAACAAAGAGACTTCTTGTTAAGACAACTACATAGGTGACTTTTTGTTAATGGCTTGCTTGTCAATTCAAGTTAAAGGTTATTACATATTCTTCAGCATGCAGGTGTTGCTTCTGATGGCAGCCCATGGGGACCAGAGTTAAGAATTGCTGGCAGCTTATCTTCACCTCTGTGGGGAAGCTGCTGGTGTTAACAAATGCAGGAGGCTGGTTCAGCGTAGAAACTCCAGGTTAAGAAAGAGATGAGATGTGAAAAAGAAAGCTAAAAATGATAAGATTTGGAGATGGTGCTTTGTTCTAATAAAAATAGCGCACAGTCCCCCTTCCAGAGATTTGAAATTCGGATTTGCTTTTTTTTTCCACAAATGATGGAAAACTTCTATTCAAAGGGTTGAGAATGAACAATTGAGGGCTGAGCTTGTTGCATCATAATTGACACAATTCAGGATGAGACCAAGTTTTGGTCTATTCAAACTATTTCAGCCTGTTTCTTCTGCTTTTAAGGCAGAATGAAGGCTCATAAGAAGGGATGGAATGAGGAGGCTTTCTGCTGTGGCTCTCAGTGGGACCCCGGCGTGAATTGATGGGGTATCTAGTATTCATGGACTGCAGTGATTCTCCTTTGAATTCAATTTGGAGGATGTGTATGTGAATATTGTGCTATAATAAGTCCTATTCCGACTTCATGAACTCCTCCTCTCCCAATTATTCTCACAGGTTTCTTCTGAGGCATTAAGAAATAACTATGAAAAATCGTGACTCATTACTTTCACAGAAAACCCAAGGTGTTATAGAATGTGTCAGGACAAGGGTAGCTCCGTACTCATCTGCTCTGAACCATGAGCACCTTATAGAATATGCACAGTGTGCCCATGATAAAGCATCTATTTTTTTCATTTTATTTCTTAACAGGGCACAAGTATGAAGGAGTGAAATTCGAGAAAGGAAATTGTGGGGTCAGCATAATGAGAAGTGGTAGGTTTGCATGTGTATGATTTTGTTTCTTTCATGCATAGAAACGGTTGCTGTTTTCTGGGAGAGAGGAGGGCTGGCTTGTCATAATTGCAACCTGCCTTGGCTTCAATCTCACCACCTGTGTTGCCTATCCTCGTGGTGCCTTGGAGTCATGGCCTGTGTGCTGCTAAGTTGGGCTAATTGTAATTGCACGCATCTTCCCCAGTGGCCTGCTCCCACGAGCAAGCCAGCTTTTTAAAAGACTCAAAGGAGGGTGGGAGGATGGGAGGACAGGATGCTGCTGTCTTGGGGAGAACGGTTTGCAGACTGAAGGAATGTGGCATAAATTACATTCTTTCTGAAGAAGAACATTTGGATACCTGGCAGGAGAAAATGTCTCCTCTGTTTTTATCTGTGTTGCAGGGAACTCTGCCAAAAGCTGGACTGAATGACTTATTTAATATTTTAAATTTTATATTCGATGAATCTGTGGCTATCTAGGCAAAAGCACCTAGCTGTCTTTAGTGCTAGCTATTTCCGCTTACTAGTCTTACACATTTTGTATTGGTGCTTTGAGTCCAACCGAACAGCCTAAGAATCAACTTTTGTGCAGCAAAATGGCATGCCTGTGATAAGAATGTGTACTGGTTATGCAGGAATGTTTTCTCTTCAGCAAACTGAACTCTTTTTTTTTTTTGCACAAGAGCTGGAAGCCTCACTTGTTTGTGCTGGAAACAGATGGATTTTTAAAAACATATAAACATTGATTTTTCTCTAGCTCTGGTTGGGTTCGTGGACAATTGAACACTTCAATTACTAAAGGAGTTTTAGCCTTTGCTTTTTACAGGAAGACAGCTATTAGGCAATGCCAACATTCTTAGGATAGTGTTTGTTAGTATTTGAGGTTGTTGGACATATGGATATGGTTTCTTCTCAACTCCTTCTCTGAGAGTACCAGATAATTCAGGGAGGCAAAGGCCAACTTGAGAGGGAGTATTTTTGTTTGTTTGTTTTGTCTTTTGATGATTTCTGTTTTGCTACTATGGCTTGAGTCCAGAATCTTGTATACAACATGTGTATAACACACCATCACCATCAAACTCCATCGACAGTTTTGACATAGTTGTTTTCACTCTTAAAAGCCACTTTTTTTGGTAAAAAAAAAAACATTTAGAAGAAACTAGTTACACTAATGCTCTAACGTTTCCTCTTAAACTTAAATGGAAAGTTAATTTAAGGAAAAATTAAGTAAATATCAATACTAAGAGAATTTCAAAGTAATATAAAATCTTGAAGACTCCATGAGAACCATTGACTTTTGGAAAATACTTCTTCAAAGGAATTCAGACTCAGAAATAGTCCTGTATTTGCGGGCAGGGGAGATGTCTCAGTGGTTAAATCACCTGCCAAACAGGTGTGAGAACCGAAGTTTAGTAAGTGTGGCAGCCTGCCTGTAACTCCAGTACTCAGAAGGCACAGTCAGGGGATCCCTGGAGCAAGGTGGCTAGCCAGATTAGTCACATCAGGAAGCCCTGTGTTCAACTGAGAAATCTTGGCTCAAAGAATAAGATGAGGAGTGATTGAGGAAGACTTTTGAAGTCTAAGTTGAGCTTTCACACGCATGCTCAGAGCATGCGCACCTGCATACACATGTGTGCCCATACACATGCAAACATCTCTATACACATTATGCACATAGACACATACAAAAATGTAGCTTGTATTTAAAAACCAATGCAATGGGGGTCAGGTTGGTTCTCTCGGGGGAGAACCATATGCTACCTTTTCACTATCGGCAGTGAAACTTTTGTCAGCGAAGTCATTGTTGAACTGAGTGATGAATCCTGGAGCCACCTTTGTGCAAAGGGAAATAAATCCTTTGGCCTGCAGCCCCAACTCTTTCAGGAATCTTTTATATTTTTCTCAGATGAAAGTGATAAATTCTGGTGGCTTAAAAATCTTTAAAAATAAGAGGGAAAGTATCTGTGATGCTGAAGAAGCTCAAGGAACAACCCGGTCAAGCCTTTATTTCTGTAATCATGGAAGCATGACAGGTCCATAGCTTATAAGCAAACAGTAAGCATAGCTTATTGTGGTTTCATTGAGCAGCCTTTCATCTGCGTTCACTGAGTTCCCACTGAGAATAAACTATGAGCATAGTAGAAGAAAAAGGATGCTTCTGCCTCGATGGTGCTCTTTTTGTATTAATAGCAGTGAAAAACTCTGCTTCAGTCTTTTCTTGCATTTGCACTCTATCTGCCACAACCCTGTTGTCCTTTTCTTTCCCTTCTTCAAGGTGAGGCAATGGAACAAGGTTTGCGAGACTGCTGTAGATCCATACGGATTGGGAAGATCCTGATTCAGAGTGATGAGGAGACACAAAGGGCCAAAGTATATTATGCCAAGTTCCCCCCAGACATTCATCGAAGAAAAGTCCTTCTGATGTATCCAATTCTCAGTGAGTGGCTTGAGTTGCATTTGTAATTTTTTGTTAGAGTTGAAATTCAAGTTAGTGCCTACCTCCTACACACCCTTATATAAAAGGCAAAAAAGGCTTCTAAATGTGTTTTCTCTGTTGGATTTGGAGTTGCCCTGGGCAGTTCACTGGGAAATTTTTATTGTATAATAAGGGAATATACATTAGTCAAACTTTGTTAGCTCCAAAGAACATCTGTCTTGAAACCAACACATTGAAGCAAAAGACCTAATGAGGCAAAATATATAGAACACAGTAAATATATTGGATCATGTCCTGTTTCTACCTTAATGAGCACGGCAGTGATTTTCTCAAAGTTTTAACATCTCCACAGGAATATTTATCTGGTATTCTGTTCTTTTTCATATCACGGTCTCTCAGGGAGGTAAGCAGGGGTGATGGTGGTGTTAAATTTGGTATCTCAAGCAATAAATGAGTTTAGAGCTTGTTGTACATTTAGTGCATGCTCATGTTCTGTCCATCATTAAAAATAACATTGACAGCTGTTGGGTGGAGCCTCTCAGAGGACAGTTATGCTGGGCTTCTGTCTGCAAGCATAACAAACCATCATTAATATTGTCAGGGATTGATGTTTGCCCATGGGATGGGTCTCAAGTTGGGCAAGTTATTAGTTGGTCATTCCCTCAGTCTCTGCTCTATCCCCTGTCCCTGCATTTCTTGTAGACAGGATAAAATTTGGGGTGAAAGTTTTGTAGGTGAGTTAGTGTCTCTGTTGCTCCCCTGGGGATCCTGCATGGCAACAGGAGGTGGCCTCTTTAGGTTCCATATCCCCAAAGAAGTGAGTTACATCTAGGGCTACCACCATTGATTCTTAGACACCTCCCTTATCCCAGGTCTCAGTCTTGTGCTGGGGATGCCCCTACCTCCTCACCCCCATCAGTTGCAGACTTCCATTTCTTCTCATGGCCATTTAGCCATCTCTCCTGTCCTTCCTCATACCTGATCCTGAACCCCCTCCCCATTCCCCTCCCTCCTAGTTTCTTCCCTCCATCTGCCTCTTATGACTATTTTAGTCCCCCTTCTATGTGAGATTCAAGCATCCTCGCTTGTGAGTTCCTCCTTGTTTAGCTTCTTTGGGTTTGTGGAGTATAATATAGTATCTGCATTTTTGGCTAATATCAACTTATAAGTAAGTACATTGCATACATGTCCTTTTGGGACTGGGTTATCTCATTCAGGATGATATGCTCAAGTTCCATCCATTTGCCTGCAAAATTCATGATGTCTTGGTTTTTTTTTTTAATTTATTTTTTCTCAAATCGTAATTCATTCACACAGGGGTTATAAACACAGAAAGGCAGGATGTGGGGAAGGGAATGACACTGGAGTGTGGGTGTTGAGGGGGAATACAGATATCATCAGAACTGGGTATTGGCTGGGTGAAGGTTCAGGGGACAATTCACTATGACTCTGCTTATGACTCACTTGTCCTTATCTAAGTTAGTATTGTCTGCCAAGGCTACCTATTTACAAGGTCTATGACTACTCAGGCTTGTAAATTTCCACAAAAGCTGCCTGTTTACATTAGCTTATAGCCATCTGTTTCAATGTTTTTCCACTGAGACCCAAGACTTGGTGTTAGTATACATGTATGACAGGCCTATTGCTAATTTTAGGCCTATGGCTGATTTTAGGCCTTCAGTATGTAAGCAGGGCTGCCCCTGACATCTCCTTCCTTTAAGTATAGAGGGGCTGTGGCAATTCTAAACTTGCGAAGGCGAGGATAGAGGCATGACCTCCAGTAATTGAAGGGGACCTTGTAATGGCTCCAGTCCTCCTGTCATTGTCCAGTGAGGCATGAGGGCCATACCCATCCAGATGTCTTTTTCCTGGAGAGGGGATACTTTTGACATCAACCCCTATGCAGTCAGGCTTGTCCCTCAGGGAACCCAGATAGATATTTTTATCTTTTATTGATATTCCCTTGCAGTGCTTAGCCTCGCAGCCTAAGCAAGAATTCAGATCACCCGTCAGAGGGGGTTCTGGGTGGCCCCTCTCTGCTTGGTCTAGGGGCGGAAGTCCCCCCTTTTAGTTTGGGTGGAGATGGGTTTTGGAAACACCCTATATAAAGTAACAACCTCATCTTGAGTCTCGTGGTCCTCCATAGCTAACTTATGATAATGTATCTGAGTAGGTTTTGCTACCAAATTATTTATCTGTTGTATCACAGAGTTAGCCTATTTGAGGGCCAGGGACCAGCAGAAATAAGCAAAAAGAACCCAAATAATGGTCCCAAATGTGAGGAAATAGGGTTGACAACCTTGGAGAGGCTGAAAACTAATTCTTGTACCAGCATTCATCTGTCTCTTTCTCTCTCTGATTTTTCTTAGGGCCTTCAGTACCTATTTCATGCTCTGTTTAACCCTCCTTGTCTTGTCTATGTAAAGGCAACCTTCTTCTTTAAGGGCTGTACACAGTCAAGAGCTGTACACAGCCTTTTCTATTGTACTAGAGTAAATCAAGTCCAATAAGGATCTTTGCGATTTTAGGAAGTCTCTTCAGACAGCGAAACGAGGGATTTCTTCAGGTTAGTAATGTCAATCTCTAGCTGTTTGATGTTCTTGTCAGTGGCCCTTCAAAGGTCTGAATAGTATAAGTTCAGAGGCCAGCATCTGGATTAGAACTTCTAACAGCAGATATCAAGAGTGATTCATTTTTACCTGAAGGGGATTCTCAGGGAGATTTCTCTTCCCTGGATGTAAGTTGTTATTTCTTTGAGTTTGTTTATATAGTGGATTACATTGATGGATTTCCGTCTACTGTACCAACCCTGCATTCCTGGGATAAAGCCTACTTGATCGTGATGGATAATTGTTTTGATGTGTTCTTGGATTTGGTTCGCTAGAATTTTATTGAGTAATCTTGCATCAATGTTCATAAGGGAGATTGGTCTGAAGTTCTCTTTCTTTGTTGGGTCTTTGTGTGGTTTAGGTATAAGCGTAATTGTGGCTTCATAGAATGAATTGGGTAGTGTACCTTCTGTTTCTGTTTTGTGGAATAGTTTGAAGAGAATTAGAATTAGGTCTTCCTTGAAGGTCTGATAGAATTCAGCACTAAAACCGTCTGGTCCCGGACTTTTCTTTGTAGGGAGACTTTTAATGACTGCTTCTATTTCTTTTGGGGTTATGGGACTGTTTAGATGCTTTATCTGGTCCTGATTTAACATTGGTAACTGGTATTTGTCTAGAAAATTATCCATTTCAGCCAAATTTTCCAATTTTGTTGAGTATAGGCTTTTGTAGTAAGATCTGATGATTTTTTTAATTTCCTCGGTTTCTGTTGTTATGTCTCCCTTTTCAGTTCTGATTTTATTAATTTGGATGCTGTCTCTCTGCCCTCTCATTAGTCTAGCTAAGGGTTTATGTATCTTGTTGATTTTCTCAAAGAACCAGCTCCTGGTTTTATTGATTCTTTGGATAGATCTTTTTGTTTCTATTTGGTTGATATCAGCCCTGAGTTTGATTATTTCCTGCCGTCTAGTCCTCTTGGGTGTATTAGCTTCTTTTTGTTCCAGGTCTTTCAGGTGTGTTGTCAAGCTACTAGTGTATGCTCCCTCCAGTTTCTTCTTGTAGGCACTTAGAGCTATGAATTTTCCTCTTAGCACTGCTTTCATTGTATCCCATAGATTTTGGTATGATGTGTCATCATTTTCATTAAATTCTAAAAAATTTTTAATTTCTTTATTTCTTCCCTTACCAGGAGTAGGGTGTTGTTCAGTTTCCATGTGAATGTGGGCTTTTCATTGTCTTTGTCATTTTTGAAGACCAGCTTTAGACCATGGTGATCTGATAGGATGCAGGGGATTATTTCTATTTTTTTTTATATCTGTTGAGGCCTGTCTTGTGCCCAATTATATGGTCTATTTTGGAGAAGGTACCATGAGGTGCTGAGAAAAAGGTATATTCTTTTGCTTTAGGGTAAAATGTTCTATAGATATCTGTTAAGTCCATTTGGTTCATAACTTCTGTTAGTTTCACTGTATCTCTATTTAGTTTCTGTTTCCATGATCTATCCATTGCTGAGAGTGGGGTGTTGAAGTCTCCCACTATTATTGTGTTAGGTGCAATGTGTGTTTTGAGCTTTAGTAAGGTTTCTTTTATGAAAGTGGTTGCTCTTGTATTTGGCACATAGATATTCAGAATTGAGAGATCATGTTGGTTGACTTTTCCTTTGACAAATATGAAATGTCCTTCCTTATCCTTTTTGATAGCTTTAAGTTGATAGTCGATTTTATTCGATATTAGAATGGCTACTCCTGCTTGTTTCTTAGGGCCATTTGCTTGAAAAATTGTTTTCCAACTTTTACTCTAAGGTAGTGTCTGTCTTTGTTGTTGAGGTGGATTTCCTGTAAGCAGCAAAAAGCTGGGTCCTGTTTCCATATGCAGTCCTTTTAGCCTATGCCTTTTTATTGGGGAATTGAGTCCATTGATGTTAAGAGATATGAAGGAGAGGGTGTTGTTGCTTCCTGTCATTTTTGCTAATAGTGGAGACATCGTTTGTGTGGTTATCTTTTTTTGGATTTGATGGAAAAGGATTATTTTCTTGCTCTTTCTAGGGTATGATTGCCCTCCTTGTATTGGAGCTTTCCTGCTATTATCCTTTGTAGAGCTGGATTTGTGTGAAGATACTGTGTAAATTCAGTTTTGTCATGGAATATCTTGGTTTCTCCGTCTATGGTAATTGAGAGTTTGGTGGGTAAAGTAGCCTGGGCTAGCATTTATGTTCTCTTAGGGTCTGTATGATATTTGTCCAGGATCTTCTGGCTTTTATAGTATCTGGTGAGAAGTCAGGTGTAATTCTGATAGGTTTGCCTTTATATGTTACTTGGCCTTTTCCCCTTACTGCTTTTAAAATTCTTTCTTTGTTTTGTGCATTTTGTGTCTTGATTATTATGTGACGGGAGGTATTTCTTTTTTGATCTAGTCTGTTTGGCGTTCTGTAGGCTTCTTGTGTGAGTATGGGCATCTCCTTCCTTAGGTTAGGGAAGTTTTCCTCAATAATTTTGTTGAAGATATTTACTGGCCCTTTAAGTTGGGAATCTTCACTCTCATCTATACCTATTATCCTTAGGTTTGGTCTTCTCATTGCATCCTGGATTTCCTGGATGTTTTGTGTTAAGAACTTTTTGCATTTTGCGTTTTCTTTGACAGTTGTGTCAATATTTTCTAATGTATCTTCTGCACCTGAGATTCTTTTTTCTATCTCTTGTATTCTGTTGGTGATGCTTGTGTCTATGACTCCTCATTTCTTTCTTAGGTTTTCTATCTCCAGGGTAGTCTCCCTTTGTGATTTCTTTATTGTTTCTACTTCCATTTTTATGTCCTGGATGGTTTTGTCCCATTCCTTCATCTGTTTGTTTGTGTTTTCTTGTAATTCTTTAAAGGATTTTTGTGTTTCTTTAAGGACTTCATCCTGTTTTCCTGTGTTCTCCTCAAGTTTTTTGATAGTGTTATTTATTTCCTTCTTATAGTCCTCTATCATCATCATTAGAAGTGATTTTAGATCTGGTTCTTGCTTTCCTGGTGATATGGGGAGTTCAGGACTTTCTAATGTGGGAGAACTAGGTTCTGATGATGGCAAGTACCTTGGGTTGCTGGTGCTTGTGTTCTTGCGCTTGCCTTTTGCCATCTGGATCACCTTTGTGCTATCTGTGCTGTCTCCGACTGGGACCTGTCTTTCCTATTATCTAGGTTGTGTCAGAACTGTTTGGGATGGGTTTTGCTGCTGGGGTTAGAGCTGAGGCCCAAGATCTTCTCCATGCTCAGGTGGAAACCGGAAGGGGCCGGGGCTCTGGGTCAGGAGTGGATTCCTGGGTCCCAGTGGGTCCCGGTTGCTCCCTGATTGGGGCAAGTATTGCCACTTCCTAGCCTAAGATACTATTTGGGTTAGAGCTCCTGAGAGCCCCGCTTCCTCTGGTTTTCGTGAGATTGGGTGCAGAGCTGACTCCCGGGATCTGGAGTGCTCGGGCCCAGACAGGATGGAATCCATGCTCCGGGCCAGGAGCGAATTCCTGGGTCCCAGTGGGTCCCGGTTGCTCCCTGTTTGGTGCAAGTGCTGCTTTTTCCTTATCTGGGGTGCTGCCTGAGTTAAAGCTCCTGGGAGTCCTTCTTTCTCTCGGTTTTCTAGGGTTGGGTACGGAGCTGCCGCCTGTGACCTGCTCTATGCTCGGGCCTAGACCGGAAGTCTCAGATGTCTTGGTTTTTAATAGCTGAATAGTATTCCATTCTGTAGATGCACCACATTTTCTGTATCCATTCTTCAGATGAGGGACATCTGGGTTGTTTCCAGTTTCTGGATATTATGAATAAAGCTGCTATGAACATAGTTGAGCAAGTGTCTTTGTGAGATAATAGGAGGAAGGATTGTGGCCCCTAAACGGATAGTTACTCCACAGGAAGACAAATAGAATTAACTAACCTGGGCTCTTGGGACTCTCAGAGTCTGAACCATTAACCAAAGAACATACATGGGTAGACCTAGACGTCGCTGCACATATGTAGCAGATATGTGTTTAGCTTGATCTTTCTGTGAGTCTGGAACAACTGTAGCAAGGAATATCCTAAAAAGCTGTTGCCTGTACATGGTATATATTCTACTAGCTGGGCTGCTTTGTTTGGTCTCAGAGAGGAAGTGCCTAAACTCATAGAGACTTGAAGTGCCAGGGTTGGGTGGATAGCCAGGGTGACTCCCCCCCCCCACCTGCTCAGATGGGAAGTGGAGGGAGGATGAGGAAAGGATTGTGGGAAGGGGTGACCAGTAGGGGAATAGTGAGTGGGATATAACGTGAATAAGTAAATGTTAAATTAAAAATAAAAATATAACGTTGATAAAGAACAAACATTTTCAAATGAAGCTTTCACTAGTCATATCTTATGTTAAGATTACTGTATTGCCATTAATTTAGAAATATTTCAGTATAGATGTCCACATTGCTAATAGGTTTGCTTACCTTTTTGTTTTAGGTACTGGAAATACTGTAATCGAAGCTGTAAAGGTTCTTATAGAACATGGCGTTCAACCCAGTGTTATTATCCTACTCAGTCTCTTCTCCACCCCCCATGGTGAGTTTTTTTTTGTTTTTTGTTTGTTTGCTTGTTGAGAAAGGGTTTCTCTATGTTAACAGTCCTGGCTGTCCTGGAACTTGCTCTGTAGACCAGGCTGGCCTGGAAGTCACAGAGATCCACCTGCCTCTGCCTCCTGAGTGCTGGGATTAAAGGTGTATACTACTCACCTGGCATCCCATGGTGAGTTTAATCTGCAGCTATAGGTTAGGCTACAGCTAGTCATGAGATGAGTAAATGTGTATCTCTCTAGGCTGTCATCCCAAGGAAAAATATAGTTGTATGTCCATATTAAATCTATTTTTGGTACTTAGGACTTGTGTTTGTTATCTCTAAACTTGGTGATAACACTAAACTCACAGAGGATGTGACAGTATGCATAAGACAGGCTCAGTCCCAGCATGGAGGAAAGGAAGGTGGGCACATGCAGGAGCTACTGGCATTTGAGAGTCAGGTTTTGAATGGTTTGACCCCTGGAAGGAACACATAAGTGAAAGAAAAAGAACGCAGACACACAAGAAGTTGGGTGGGTAGGGTGTGGAGAGGGAGTATGAATAGGATCAAAATCTATTCTATGAAATTCTCAAGGAATTAATTCGAATATAAAGAAATATTGTGGAATGTTATTAGTAAGTTTAAAGATGACCAATACAAATTATAACACTAACTACCCAAAGCAGACTTAGCTTCAACATAAAACCTTCCTAATCACTGATATTGAGGTCAGAGACTTTGACGTCAATGTGAGTGATTAGGAAGATATACAATGCTATTTCAATTTATGTTTCAAAATGCACACACAGTACTAATATTGGTTATTTTAGGGTGTAACTCTAAATAATTTTCATTTTTAAGTTTTTTTGGGGGAACACTTTCTAAGCTTTCTTCAATGAATTCATATTTGTTTCATAATTGAAAGAGAGATAGATGGCTTTTCAAGTTAGGCTGTTCCCTCATTTCCAAGCAAACTGGGAGAAGTCAGCATGTGCGTTAGAAAGGCTATTCTCAGCAGGCTACTGTGCTGTAATTGTGGCCTATTGGATTGCTTTGTTCTTTTGTAACCTAAATGTACCTGTAATTTAAATACTAGTGGTGACAAAGGGTGATTTGCTTGATTGTCCATTGTATGTAGCACTGGTGACATGGAAAACGTTAAGGTAATCCAGTAATTATCCACCTTTGGCAAAAGAAAAATAATCTCTTTAGTTGAAATTGTATTAATTGGAACAGTGTACCACTGTTTAGCATTAAAACTGAAAAATCCACATTGTGTAGCAGTTTTCAAGGCAGCTTTTTGGTTTGGGGTTCCAGCCAGTCTAAACTCCCTGCCTGGCCCCATCACCTAAAGCTAGAATCCTTTTGTCTAAACAGCCAGCATTCTCTTATACACCAAAGATGCCTTCACACTTGTTTCCCATTGCTGCACTCTCATTTCCTGGGATTTTCCTTTGAGGAAGTGCCATATTACTTGATTCTAGCCGAAGCTGATATAACTGAATAATTTGATTTTAAGACCATATTACTGAGTGGGCAGGAACATGGTCTGAATTACTAGCAAAGCTTTTCAGATACCAGACATTATATAAAGAGATTAAGCATGCCTAACTCAGTATCCACAGATGATTGTTTCCTGTTTTCTGTCAGAATAAAGTCTGAAGACAGTGATTATACAAGTTATGAATTCTAACTAGCATTACTCAGAATTTTGCAGTAATAACAATTATTTTTATTTTTGAAGGTGCCAAATCAATCATTCAAGAATTTCCAGAGATCACAATTTTAACTACTGAAGTTCATCCTGTCGCACCTACACATTTTGGACAGAAATACTTTGGAACAGACTAAGTTATTAAAGGAAAATGGAATGCCTTGCATAATAATATGGTTGCAAATGGATTTCATATCTGTTTTTGCTAATTTGAGAAATAATGGAGAAAACATGTTAGGAATGCCTTGGAAATAGGTATGGAAGTTTATTTATTTGATGTGGCCATTTCTTCACAGGTGGTACCAAATTCAACAATGAAGCACAACCACAGTGCTTAGAAAAGATGGAAATTTTAATTGTATGGTAATAGAAATCACTGAATCCTCAGTTAGTACATGGAAACTGTAGAACTTGTGACCCCTCTCTCTTGGTTTGGAAGTTGCTTGCAGCTACAAAGAAAACCCAAATGAGAGTTAGTTCTTTAGCAAACTGCAGTTTACATTTTCCTTACTGTGCTTTAGCTCTAGAGTGTTTTCCTGTATGTGGCTCTTGTGGCTCTTGTCACCCTCTGTACTATATTCTCTCTCTCTCTCTCTCTCTCTCTCTCTCTCTCTTCCTCCTCCTCCTCCTCTTCCTCCTCTCTCCATTTATATATACACATGCAGGTACCTTGGAAGAGAGAGAATGAGAGTATGTCCTGGAATTTTATGTTGCCATTTATGTCCTCGCATAATTTGCAGACCCAGGATGTCTGTTTATCTCCTCAGTTAAGCCGTTGTGTTCCTCACGGCTCATTTCTCCAAGTGGGCATTGAGGGAAGGTGATTGCCAAGCTGTAACACAGTGAAAAGCTGTAGGGCCTTTTCAAAAACTGAGTCTGTAACGTGAGTCTACAGAGTCTGAACCACAATGCCCGATGCTGACCCAAAAGAGCTCAATCAGCCCTCTACAAAGAAATTGGTGGAGAGTTTTCTAAGGTATGGGAAAAAGTGGAGGCTTTGCATTTTGTGGCCAATAAGTAAATCAACACAGTTCTTTTGTTATTGTTGTTTTTAAAGACATGGTTTCTCTGTGTTCCTCTGGCTGTCCTGGAACTCACTTTGTAGACAAGGCTGGCCTCGAACTCATAGAGATCTACCTGCTTCTGCCTCCCTAGTGCTGGGATTAAAGGCATGCAGCACTACACAATATGCAATACAGTTCTTTTTAATTTAGTTATTTTTACTAGTTGCCTTTGGTTTGGAACTTAGTTATTTTGCATGTTTTATGACTATACCTGTATTAAAGTAGAGAGTATATATGTCCTTTCAAAATATATAAGATTTGTATGTGCTCATATTTAAGCTTCTGAAAGGGAGAGGAAATAATCTTAGAATCAATCTTTGTACTTTTGAAATGTGCTTATAAAACCTGGATTCCCATTTTACATTGATATTGTGGTGGCTGGGTGATTACTTGATTAATTACACTCTCATGGCCCCTCAGACAGCTGTTGTGGGACTCTGTTCAAAAGTATAAGAAAAAGTACATGGAAATTTCTTAGAACTGAAGCTGAAAAGATCAGTGAGGCCCAAGGGAGGAAAGTAACCTGGAGTAAATGGAATGGATTTTACCTTATGGTTCTAACCCACTAAGCTTAACTGTACTTTTACTTTCGTTGTTGTTGTTTCTTTGAGACAGAGCTTCTCTGTGTAGCCCTGGCTATCCTGAAACATGCTCTGAAGACCAGGTTAGCCTCCAACTCAGAGATCTACCAGCCTCTGCCTCCCAAGTGCTGGGATTAAAAGTGTGTGCCACCACTGCCCAGCTACTTTATTTTTGAAGACTATTATGTAATCAAATTAAAATTCACCTAAGAGTTCTTCTATAGCAGAATGTTACCTTCAAGTTCTTCCATAATTCTTTTATTTTTTTTTTTGAGATAGGGTCTTATTGTATATTCCTGGCTGGCCTGGAACACACAGACATCCTCCTGCCTCTTGAGTGTTGGGATTAAAGGTGTGCTGAAAGTTATAATTACATTTGTTATTAGGTGTCCTAAGAATGATGTGAGTGCAACTTCAGATAGACCAGCTCTGTTGACATTGTTATTGCACTGAATCAGTTGGAAAGATGCTGCTCACTTGCCTGGGTGTGGTAGGAGGATTTCAACACTGAGGCTAGCATAAGTAACTGAATCATATCTTGTTTAAAAAAAAATCGTTTTGGTCACTAACCTAAGAATTGCTGTGACTCAGTTGAATTGGTGCTTGTCTTGGCTGCAGTATTTTCTTTGAATATGGAATAATTTAAAACCATATTTTGTAGGGATAAAACCATATTTTAAGCAAATTCTTTTTTTTTTGAACCATGTGTTCTGTACCATAGGCAGGCTTTGAACTTGCTGAGTAGTCAGCTCTGACCTTGAACTTCTGGTCTCACTGCCTTCTCGGATGAAAGGCTTACCACCAGCATCCCCATTTAAAACACATTCTTTTTCTACCATTAACCATTTAGATTTAAATGTCTGTTGCATTTCAGCAATAAACATGATTAAAAGTTAACTACATCTGATTCCTTCCCACATGGAAGTTTAGTCTAAACAGTAGGAATTATTCAGTAAGGTCATATTCCCCTCTGATGCTTGTACCCTACACTCCTGCAGATATAACGCTGCTCTCTGAATTTTGGAATGTTTCAGCAAATAAATTCGTACTTGCAGGGCTAATCACTTGCAGGACTCTATTTTCTAAAGTCAACATAAGATTAACGAACTATTAAAAGTAAGATTGACTTTAGCGACTTGAACTTCAAAGCAATATAAATTGTGCAGATTCTTTATTGAAAAATAGAAGCTAGAGCAAAATGACATGCACATAACACAAAGCTGTGATTCTCAAAGTATGGCACGCATCATAATTATTTAGAGGGCTACAGATTGCTACACCCCACCTTTACAGTTTCTGATTCAATGTCTTGATTTCCAACATTGCTTCTTTTTATAATATAGGCATTTAATGATTTTTAAAGCTTCCCCTGAGGATTTAGCTGATTTTTGATATGTTTTCATTTTAATTCAAGTGAAAATATTTTCTTTTTAAATTTCTTCACTCCAGTATTATTTAGAAGCATCAACCAATTGCAAATACTCCTATCATTTTCCATATTTCTCTTTGCTATATTATTTGTTAATTTGCTATGTTAATTGTTATGATTTGAATCCTTTCAATTTGCAAGATTTTAGATATAGCATCTTATCCATAAACCATTGTATTTGGTAAGTCTACTTCCTACCAACGTGATTACTTGGAATGTATGCATATCCTGTATTGTTTGCTGTGAATTTCAAGTTAAGTTGGTTGATAAAGCTGTTCAAATATTCTGTTTCGCTGATTTTTCTTTCCACTTGTTCTATTGATTATTAGGAGAAGGATGTTGAAAGCTCAGACTAAACGTGTTGTATTTATTTCTTCTTTCAATTTTATGAAGGTTTTGCTTTGTGTATTTTGAAGTGCTCTTGTTAGGTGACTGTTAGGATGTTTGTAGTGTCTTGATGCTATGACCCTTTACCACCGTGAAATGTTTCATTTTGTACCTTTGTGCTGAAATCCCAGATTTCTTTTGACTTGATTTACTTTTAACATGCTTATGTCTTAATGTGAATTTCTCATAGGCAGGTTTAGAGCTACATCTTGCTTTTTAAAAACCCATTTTGACAGTGTCTGCTTTTCGTTGCAGTGTTTAGATGATTTTTGTGTGATAAAATTATTGAAATGATTGAGTTAGATCTACCGTCTGGCTATTTCTTTCTATATTTACTTTTTCTTTATTTCCACCTTTTTGATTATTATTTATGATTCTATTTTATGTCTTCATGACATTTGTGTCAGCTCTTTCCACTAAGTCCACTCTCCAGGACCTTGATTCAAACCTTTCCCCTCTCTCTATTATGTAGCTCTAGCTGTCCTGAAACTTACTGTGTAGACTAGGCTGTCCTTGAACTTGTAGTGCTGGCACTAAAGGCATATACCACCACACTTGGCCAGCCTTGTCTCCCTTAAAGGAGGACTGCTGTATTTTTCTGAGCATTTACATTTAATACAGCAGTTGTATACCAGACAACTGATAGAATTAATAGCATGAGTATATCCAACATTTGGAGGATTCTATGCAAAATATAGACTTGAAGCAGTTAATCCATTTATAAAGCCACTATATACATCTCAATATTTTTATATTAATCTGATTATTTTCCCTTTGTCTATCATTATTTGAATGTTATAAGCTCATATTAATTTGTTAATTGAAACTGCTTATCGTATTAATTTAACTACATCTAGCTTCTAATATCAGTCATTTTCCATTGATATCACATCTCGAGGAAGCTTAAATTAAGTTGCTCAATACATATAATTATCAGTGCATTCTGTGACCTGTTTAATATACTTGAATTCCACCAGCACTGTTCACCTTCCACCATATCACACAGAGATAGCATAGTTATTTTATTTTGCAGGTCACTCAGATAACCATTATACTTTTCCCCAAATAATTGGCTCTTGACCAAGTGCCAGATATTGTTAAGGAAAGGTGATGTCACAGTTGAACAAGATTTGTTTATGACCAGGTTCCAAATCAATGTTTTAGTTTATTTGAGCTGTTGTAACAAAATACCAGACTGGGTGGGTTTTTTATTTTTCATGACAGGGTTTCTCTTTGTAACAGTCCTGGCTGTCCTGGAACTAGTTTAATAGACCAGGCTGGCCTTGAACTCAGAGAGATCCACCCTCCTCTACCTCCTGGGTGCTGGGATTAAAGGCATGGACCACCATTCCTGGCAGGGCTGGTTTCTTATGGTAAATCCAAGGGAATAGTTTAGAATTATTTCTACTTCTGCTGTAAAATCAAGTACAACTTCCTTTGCTCTGTTCTTGGGGTGAGGGCAGGCAGTGCATAATAATGTAAGTGGTTTTTACCTTCAGAGAACTTATAAGTTTGGAAGTTTATAGGAATTTTGCAAGTGTTGATGTGCCATTGTCTATCTTGAAGGGCTATTGATTCATATCTGGGTCAGGCTCCAACTGTTTTAAATTGGTCTAAAGACCCTATTTGTTCAGGCCTTTGCCTAACTGTGAGTATAACACTGTCCAGCTTTATTCAAGGAATCTTCCTGTCCAAGGTTTCTAAAGCCTTTCCAGGCTGATCCCGGTCTTCTGGAAGAGTTATCCTTCTACTGATTTAATCTACATAACTTACCATTTTCTTTTGAATACCATTCATTAAAAGGAAATCCCCTTTGCTCTAGCAGTCACACTACTGAGTATGTAAGCAAAGAGAATGAAATTACCATACTGAAGAGACATCTGCACTCCCGTGTTCATTGAAGCAGTATTCTCAATAATTAAAAAATAGAAACAGCCAAAGTGTACATCACATGATAAATGTATCAAGAAAGTGTGGTGCGTTTATATGATAGGTTTCCACCATAAAAAGGAATGAAATCCTGTAATGGAACTGGAGATTATGTTAAGTGAGTGAAACAAGCAAGTCACAGATTAACACTATATGATTTCTGCTCATGAGAAATGAAAAATGATCTTATACAAGTTGTTACCAAAAGCTGGAGATGCCCAAATGGGGAAAGGTTGAACAAGGGTCACTAAATTATAGTTACTTAGAAGAGAGTTCTGCTGTGCTATTACATAGTTGTGTGTCTGTAGATCATTAATGTACTATACATGAAAATTAGAAGAAAATATTTTGTTAAGTTTTTACTATGAAGAAGTGATGAGGAAAGAGATAAACATGATTTAAATATTATACAATGTCTACATGTATGGAAATATATCTCATTAATATGTAAACATTTTCTTTATGGATCACTTAAAATAAATGTAAATAAATGAAAAATAATAACTGAGTTTATTTTTCTTCTTTTATTTATATTTTTTCTTTTATGAAAATTAATTTCTTTCTATTTTGAAAATTTCTTTCTTTCTTTCTTTCTTTCTTTCTTTCTTTCTTTCTTTCTTTCTTTCTTTTCTCTTCCCTCCCTCCCTCCCTCCCTCCCTCCCTCCCCCCCCCCCCCCCTACCTTCCTACCTTCCTTCCTTCCTTCCTTTCAGAAAAAGTCTTACTCTAGAGCCCAGGCTGTCCCTGTCTTTCTAGTTACTATATAGGCTAGGCTGACTGAGTCAACACACCTGGCTGTTTGATTTTTGATGCCTAAACTGGTACTTATTTCTCACATAGCTCTCTTTTGTCCTGTGGACTAATGTTTAATCCACCAGGCATGTTGCTGTCATTGTAATTGCCTTGGCGCAATTAGCAAACATATTTTGTACCAAAAGATGTTGGGTCTTTCTAGTAAGATTATGTGGATGTTAGTCATGCTTAGAAATAATTTGTTCTCTCTTTCCTTTTTGATGTACTTCTCAAGATCCTCTTGTTATCATGGGCTACTTAGTCCCAGCCTAGTGCTATCAGTATTGTAAGAATCTTAGAGTCTCACTTCTGCCAAGCCATCCCTGATGCTAAGATCTGCATGTTTGACTTTGGACAGAACAAGTGATTGAATTCTTACTTTGTGTCCACATGGTGTCAGATAAATATAAGCAACTCTCCTCTGAAGGCCTGGAAGGCCACCTGTACTTAGGCCAACAAGTACACAGTAAAGAGTTATGGCAAGGGTGGCTTTCATAGACAAACAATGCTCTGACTTTTCCTTGTCATCTGCATCAACACAATGTCCTGTGTTGGGGCTCCATGTAGGTATGCTTAGGCCTCAGGGAAGCTCCAGGGCACATTGACCAAGTCATCATGTCCATCTGTATCAAGCTGAAGAATAACGAACATGTGATTGAGGCTGTGTATAGTGCCATGCTCAAGTTCCCTGGATCCAGAAGATCTACATTTCAAAGAAGTGAGCCTTCACTAAATTTAATGCAGATGGATTTAAAGACATAGTAGCTGAGAAGCGGCTCATTCTTGATATGAGGTCAAATATATTCACAATCCAGGTCCCCTGGACAGGTGGGAGGACCTGTACCCCTAGGGACTTCCACAGTGCTCTCCTATACCACACAAATCATATTCAGTAGTAAATCTCACATCCAGTCAAAACAAAAAGAAATAATTTATTCTGTATAAGCTATAAAGACCTCACCTAACCTTTCTTGTCTTAAGGTAGTCATTCCCCATGGGATTTGAACCCAGCAAGAAGACCTTTTACTTAGTCCCATCATGAACACATTGTCTCTGTCTTTTTAAGGATTTATTGTATTTTTAGTTATGCATATGTGTGCTTTTTTTGTGTGGGTATGTGCACAGGGGTGTGTGTGCCCATGGAGTCCAGAAGAAGGCTTCAGATCCTCTGGAGCTGGCAAGAGGCAGATGTGAGCTGTCCAGTGTTGGTGCTGGGAACTGAACTTGGGTCTCCTTCAAGAGCAGTCCATTACTCTTATTCATGGAGCCATCTCTTTAGTCCTCAACTTTGTTTTAATAACTTTGCATTTTCAGAATCAAGGATAATTTGCCTTTATACACAGAATACTTAGTCATCACAGGCAGTGACTACATTCATAATAGCTAACCATCTTTCTAAGTGGTGATCAAAGTTGATACTTGCTCAGTCATCTGTCTATCCATTGTATATGGCATAGTTTGATGACCAGATGAGGAATAATTCTGGAAGTTTATCCCCAAGTGACAACCTTTGTACTAGATGTAACCAGGAAAAAAAGCATTGGAGGTGCAGAGTATAAAGCTTAGGGCCTCCTGACATGGTAGGTTAGTGATCTACCAAGTTAGAGCCCTACCCCTGTAACCTGTACTTTAAGAATAAAAACACACTGGTTTATTTCTAGGGATCCATCATAGCTGTTATGGTTTGAATTTGAAATGTCCTTTATAAGGTCACTTTTAAAAGGAATTTATTTTTAAAGCTTTCATGCAAGTAAGTGCTGTATGTTGAGGATATATACCCATATCCCTCATCTCTTTGCTCACCCATCCACCTGTTAGACATTTCCATTTCTACTTTCCTGTCATAAACATGATTTTACATGCTTGTGTTTTGAACCTTGTTCCTCAGGTGGTGGTGCTCCTTTGACGGTCCACTGAAGCTTTAGGAAGGGGGGGGTCTAGCTAGTGGTAATAGGTTGCTAGGGGCAGGCCTTTCAAGATTATGTATAGGTTAGCTCCTAGTTGCAGTTGCTTTCTGCTTTTCTGATCTGCTGTGATGTGAGGGACCTCTACAACATACTCCCATAGCCAGGAATTCTGCCGTATTTTCTTTATCACAATGGACTGCTGGGGTCTGAATCCAGGGCCTTGCCACATAGTGGGCTAGTGATCTAGCACTGAGCTGCTGCTTCAGCCCTATGGTTGATTATAACCTGCATATCCTCACCTTAGAAAGGAACATCATTGACTGTTGACTCTCAGGGGCAGTAGTAGCAGCCTGAGTCTAGCAAGAGGTTTCCTTTCAGTCAATACTCATCTGTATAGAGTTGCACAGACCCAGATTCACTGGGATATCATTTTTGGTTAATTCAAACTTTGCAAAATAGAGTGGAATTATAACTTATCCCATTAATAGAAGTTAAAATAAATTTGGGCATAAAAGTTTAATGGCATAGGTACAGTAGTTCCTCCTGCATTCCAGAGGGATGAATTATAAGGCTGCTGTGAACGGAAAACTAGGATAATACCAAACCACAAATTCAATTCCTCTTTCTATCTTAGCCAAGCACTTGTCATGCTGCCCCTGTAGTTTTTATAGTTTCAGGTGTGACAGCTAAACTAACACAAATTTCTTTTTCCTTCTTTGCAATTTCATGGGTAGAGACTCATTCCTACTACAGATTTTAGCAGCTTCAAAATACTTCCTTGTTGTTTCCTCAAGTCCAGAACTTTCACCTTTTCACTTAAAGCGCTTTATCACTTTTCTTTGGCATATCCAAATGGAAAATATCACTATTTTACTATTTAGGGACTGTTATTAAGTAAAATAAGGGTTAATCAAAACAGAACACTATGATACTGAAATAGTTGATCTGATCATGAGAATACCTAAGTGACTAAAATGGGTGGATAGTATATGCTGCATGGAAATGCTGAACAAAACAAGGATTCACATCTTGAAAAGGCAGAGCAAAACAGCATGAATTTTTCACAATATTCATAGCTGTACATTTCAATTCTTTTCTTTGTATCCACGTGTGTGGTGCTAAGGATTGAACACAATGTCCTGTGCATTCTAGGCAAGCTATTTACTGCTGGCCCAAGTTCAGAACAGAGAAAAACATTTGTCTATGGACTCACAATTTTACTTCATTATACTCTGTATCTATCATGCTCACTTTGATTGCGGAGGCTTTATAGGGCATCCAGGCATCATAAAGTGGGTTCTCTTACTTTGCTATCCTTTTTCTTCGTTGTTTGGCTATTTGGAGTCTCTTGTAATTGGTTATGAATCTTAGGACTAAAATGAGGCATTGGGATTTTGATAGAGATTACAATGAAGCCATAGTTCTCTTTCGGTAATACTGATATTTTACTATGAAGGTTTCTAATCTATGAACATGGAATGTCTTTCCATTTACACATCTTCTTTACCTTCTTCTTTATAGTAATGTTTTGTGATTCCCAGGCTATAGGCTTTTATCTCCTTGGTTAAATTTATTTCTAAATATTGAAATCCTTTTATGGTATTATAAATGGATTTTTTTCTTAACTTCCTTTTGAGTTTGTTCATTGCTAGAGTGTAAAAAATGCCAGTATCGTGTGTGTTGATCCTATATTCTTCAACTTGGCTGAATTCAAAAATTACTAATTTTAATTTTTGGTGTATATTCATTAGAATTATTCCATATATAAGATCATATCATCAACACACAGGGACCATCCTCTCTTCCTTTCTGGTTTGGATGATGATTCTTTTTCCTAGTGGCTGGAACTCCATGCCTATGTTGAATAAAAGTGTGAAAGCAAGATTATTTATTGTAATTGTCTTAGGGAAAATAATTTTGTATGACCACTATTGGGTATAATTATAAAATTTTCCTCTTTATCTCAACTAACATTTATCTTTAGTTTTTAAAATATTATTTTTTTCTTGGTTATGGTGGCATACACCTTTAATCCCAGCACTGGGGAGGCAGAGGCAGGTCAATATTTGAGTTTGAGGCCAGTCTGGTCTACAGAGTGACTTCCAGGATAGCCAAGGATGCAAAATATACCCTGTCTTGAAAAACAAAACAAATAAAAATATTTATTTTTACATGTATGAGATTTACCTACATGTATGTATGTGTACCATGTGTATTCCTGGTGACCAGGGAGGCCAGAAGAGGGTATCAGAACTCCTGGAACTGGAATTACAGATGGTTATGGACTGCCTTGTGGGTGCTGGGAACTAAACTCATTCCTCTACAAGAGTACCAAATGCTCTTAACCACTGAGCCATATCTCTACCCCCTCAACATTTATCTATCTATCTATCTATCTATCTATCTATCTATCTATCTATCTAT